GCTTCCTTTTCCCGGCGTTTGTCCCCTGCAGAGAGGAACTATGATGTCGGAGACCGGGAACTCCTTGCTGTTAAGCTCGCCTTGGAGGAGTGGAGGCATTGGCTGGAGGGGGCAGAATTGCCAGTGGTTATCTGGACGGACCATAAGAATTTGGCTTATATCAAGGACGCCAAGAGACTCAACCCCCGACAGTATCGTTGGTCCCTATTCTTTTCCCGTTTTAACTTTATTATTTCCTACAGACCAGGTTCTAAGAACGTTAAACCTGACGCCCTCTCCCGGCAGTTTTCCCCTGACAATGAACTGGAGCCAGCCACCATCATCCCTCCCTCCTGCGTCGTGGGATCCCTAACCTGGGCAAGGTTCTCCAAGCCCTTAAGACCGACCCAGGCCCAGGTAACAAACCTCGTGACCTACTTTTTGTTCCCAGCCGAGTCCGAGGCCCCGTCATCCACTGGGCTCACACTGGGCGGTTTTCTATGCACCCCGGGGTAGGACGTACTGTGGCCCTCATCCGGCGCACGTTCTGGTGGCCGTCCCTTTACAGGGACGTCAAGGACTATATAGCTACCTGCCATGTCTGTGCCAGGGGTAAGGGTACCAACCAGCCACCTGCCGGTCTTCTCCAACCTCTTCCCATCCCCTCACGACCTTGGTCCCATATTGCCCTGGATTTTGTTACTGGTCTTCCCCCTTCTCATGGTTTTTCTGTAATTCTGTCTATTGTAGATCGTTTTTCCAAGGCCTGCCACCTTGTTCCCCTGAAGTCACTCCCTTCCTCCTCAGTTACTGCCCAACTGTTGATTAAACATGTGTTCCGCCTTCACGGCATCCCTCAGGACATCCTATCGGACCGGGGTCCCCAGTTCATCTCACAGTTGTGGAAGGAGTTCGCTGCCGCCCTGGGGGCCAAGGTCTCGCTCACGTCGGGGTTCCACCCCCAGTCTAATGGGCAATGTGAGCGGCTGAACCAGGAGCTGGAAGCCACCCTGCGTTGTGTTTGTGCCACTAACCCCTCTAGCTGGAGCGCTCAGCTTCCCTGGGTGGAATATGCGCACAACAGTCATGTCTCCTCATCCACCGGCAGATCCCCCTTTGAGACGTCACTGGGCTTACAACCTCCCCTGTTTCCCTCGGACCAAGTAGGTGCCGCCTCTTCGGTTCCACAGTTTCTCCGTGGGGCCCGTCGTATGGGGACACAGACCGTTGCGGCCCTGGGACGTACGGCCAAGCGCAACAAGAGAGTTGCTGACCGGCACAGACGTCCTGCTCCTCAGTACGTTCCTGGACAACGGGTGTGGCTGTCCGCCAGGGACATACGCCTGAGAGCCTCCAACCGGAAGCTCTCTCCGTGTTTCATTGGTCCCTACACCATTGCTGCAGTCCCTAGCCCCTCCACTGTACGTTTAACCCTTCCTTCCTCCCTTAGGGTTCACCCTGTGTTTCATGTGTCCCTCGTCAAGCCTGTTTTGTCTAGCCCCCTGTGTCCCTCTCCTGCTCCTCCTCCTCCTCCTCGTTTCTTTGAAGGTGGCCTGGTTTATCCGGTCCGGCGGCTCCTCGACGTTCGTCCCCGGGGACGGGGACGACAATACCTCGTTGACTGGGAGGGTTTTGGCCCCGAGGACAGGTCATGGGTCCCTGGGTCTTTCATTACGGACCCTTCTCTCATCGCAGACTTTGAGGCCTCCAGGGCCTCGTCTTCTTCCTCCTCCTCCGCCTCCTCCTCCTCTGCTAGGCCGCCAGGGGGCGTCCGTTGAGGGGGGGGTACTGTCAGGATCTGGGGTGAGTCTGCACATTCCTCTAATCACCTTAAGTCATTGCAGGTGGGCGGCTCCGGAGAGCGGCCAGCTGCGATGATTTCCCTCATCTACTTCATGTGGTTATAAGGAGCTGGAGATCAATTCAGCTTGCCGGAAGATTACTCAACTTGGGTAGCTCTTGCCACTATAGAAAACTACAGCTTTAGTCTTGCCTTATATTTGTCCGTCATTGTTGTTTTTTTGATGACCTCTGCCTTCCCTTTATCAGGAATTCTCACCACGAACCTTTCCTGCAATAACCTGTTTTTTTTTTCATCTCCAAGCCTGATCTCCCTCCTCACCCGGACCGACCCGCTCTCCCACCGCTCACCTCCCTTGGATTCTGGATTCACGCTGACGTTGCTCACCCCAGTCCTGGCTACCCTCCCATGCTCTGGATTTCAGTCCCCATAGTAAGATCCACTACAAACTTAGTCCTGCAATTCTATTCCCCGCTGCCCAACACTGACAGTGTTTGTCTCAACAGACCCAGCCCCGGAGCTGTGCTCAACATCACCGCCACGTCTGGCGGTGCACCTTTAGTTCTCCTTAAAATAAAACATTTATTTTTTCCTACCTACGTCTCCTAGTGTGAATTCTGCATGTCTTGGGTCAGGAAACTTCCCTCAGTCATGACAGCGTCCAACATTCAAAAATAACACAACCCCCCTCCCTCTTTCCCTCTGCCCACAATGGTGGGTATCCCTCCCCCAACTGTTGGACCTCCGTTATCACTGAAACCGATCCACAGCTGTGGGGATCAATCTTACTACTCTTTTGGTTCTTAACCTATTTCAAAAAAACACTGCTGCTGCTAAATCGTAGCTAATAGTTAGTCAAAACTCCTGCTCGTCTCAATTAACGCCCATTATATGTAACTCTATTTCCCATTTTTACTAATAATATAACATGTTATAGGCACTCTTGAGATAACTCAGTCACATTATGCAGTCCCCTTTTGTACATATATAATCCTTTAACTTGCTCTCTATTAGTCAATGTGTCAATCGATTGATACAAAACATTCATTAATAGAAAGAGGAAAAGAAAATGAAAAAACAACATCAATAAAAAGGCCACTCGATTTGTTATCTTCTTTTGCATCCTACAAATCAATAAACTACTAACTTATAGGATTCCAACCTTACATTCCAACCATACTTCCGCACCCTCCGGTAGGTTCATGAGCCGTAGGTCATTCATACGTGACCTGGTTTCTAGATCTACAGATTAGTTCTCCATGGTTTAGTTTTTAGCTTGTACCAATTTTAGCTTGCAGGCTAACCAGGGCATCCTCCGCAGTGGAGATGGGTTCCTCAGCTTGCGACATACGTTCTCCGCAGTCGTTAATGTCTTTCCTCACCTCTTGTAATGTTGTTGCCATATTATCCAGCCTTGATGCAAAGCCCGTTTCCGTTGAGTGTATCTTTGCCAGTATCTGGTCAGCTTTGGTACCCATGGGTTCATTTTCGTTGTCAGTCTGCGTAGCCATGGCCTGGTTAGCTTTAGTTGCTTCACCTCGAAGACTACAGTCAAACAGGCTCGCTTGTTTAGTTGTTCCTCCTTTTCCCTTCTGTGACTTAATCACATTAGGCGTTGTTCCGCAAAAACTTCCTGATTTTTAAGTTATTAGTGAGCAGGAGAACGTTAGAATCAACTTAGCGGCAGAGCAAAAAAAAAAAAAACACGTCCTCCTACATGGCCGCAATAACCGGATCCCTCAGCTTTTGTTTTTTACTATAAATGATCATTTTTTATCTGTCCTGAAAATAAATTCATACAAATGAAAATACAACATTTATCATTTTATATTCAGATTGATTAAACGCCCCTTATTTTTAAATAATGAAACACATTATGGAAAATCTGTTAATTAAAATGAATAAAACTAAATGCAGCATTAATTAATGTGTGTGTGGTCCATTTTGTATAAAGAAAAAAGCAGCTTAGTTTCCTCCACTTCATTACAAAAGAACAAAAGCAATGGTTCAAACATTTCATGGCCAAAATACGTTTAAATAATTGAGTTTTTCAGCTGACAACCAAAAACAAAGAATATGACTAAAATATTGTATATTTTTTTAAATAATAATCAGTGTTATTTTGTAAATGTCCCAGTCTCTAACTGACCCAGACCTGGAGGATCTTCTACAACACAACCAGGAATCAGATGTATTAAATATGCACAAACATCCATACGATAAATGTTCTGTTGATTGATGGTACAAAGCATCAGGCATAAGGACCACAACACCACAACATCAACAGGTCACCAGGGGGCATGTTTAATTGTAATCAGAACTATAACAACAAAGAAAAAAGGATTCAATTCAAAAAATACTTTATTAATCCCAGAGGGAAATTGATTGCTGTAGTAGCTCAGAATAATAATAATCAAGTCATCAAAGAGTTATTGGATATTACAATGGCTGTTGGCAGGATGGATCTCCAGTAGCGGTCAGTGTTGCAGTGAAACTGAAGAAGCCTCTGACTGAAGACACTCTTCCTTTGTCGGACAGTCTTGTGAAGAGAATGCTCAGGGTTGTCCATAATTTTCTTGATTCTCTGGAGAATCCTCCTTTGCATTATCTCCTCCAGTGGTTCCGAAACTGCCGAAACTCTGGCTGAGTCCTTGAAAGGGCTTGGAGTTCCTCCATCTTGTTGGCCAGTGATCTCACATTGCCCATTATGATCGATGGAAGAGATGGTTTGAATTTCCTCTTTCTCTGTCTCCGTTTTGCTCCCGCTCTGCATCCACGCTTTTTACGTTTTAGCTCATTTGGTATTTGTGGCTTCAGTTGAGGTATTATTTCAGCCTTTCCAATGTTAATCAGCTGCTCCCGATGTTAAACCAGCTTGTTGCCATGGTTACGCATCATAACAAATGTTCAAAAAGTGAAAAAAAGCTAAAAAATAGAAGTAAAAATCCTCCACGCTTCACAGCACCAGAAACAGAAAAGTAAAGTGTCCAAAAAATACAGTTTTTCTTGAGAAACTAGAAGAAAAAATGTCCAAGAAAAGGCTAAACTTACATATAATCAACAGAGCTACTCCAACATGCAGCCGCCCAGAGCAGCGCAGTTCTGGGGGGGAAAACAAAAATAATGATAATAATGGTCAGGAGAACGGAATCTGCCAGCATCAGCTTCCTTTGATGATGTCATAAAGGAGAGTGCAGTCCTATATAAAGGGCAAACATAAAGCAGGCAGACAGACAGCTTCATTTGCAGCCTGGTTTTAGACCTGAACAGACCTACAATGGCTACTGGTGGACCACACGAGGGAAACATGGAGGTATTTTCAGACATATATAAAGCTGAATTAGACCAAAGGAATGAGCTTTTACAAAGAGAATTACGAGATCTGGAAGTCAAAAAACTAGTTTTTGGTAACCAGGAACGCGACTTTGAACAAAGGGTGGATGCGTTTGAGAAAAACATAGCTCGCATCAGGGAAAGTCTCCAAGAGGAAAGACAGAAATTGGAAACAAAAACGCAGGATCTGGAGAAAAGAGAACGCCACTTTGAGGATCAACAAAAGAAACTAACGAATCATGTTGATGAACTAAAGACGAACTCTCAGAAAGGAAGAGATAATTTTGTTTCAACTCAGTTACTCGACGAACACAGAGTAAAGATTGAGCTGGAAAACAGGGAACTGCAGAAACAAAGACAAGAAATTCAAGATGAGTGGAATAAGATTAAAGAAACTCAAATTGCAAATTGTGAGATGGCCAAACACTTGAATAAGACACAAGAGAAAGTCGGAGATTTATGGAAAGCTTTACAGGTAAGCAAAGAGAGATCAACAGAAGAAATTAGTAACTTGAAAAGAGATCTGGAAAGACAGAAATTAGAGTTTATCGAATCTAAGGAACAAACAGAAAGGGAGTTAACTGCAGAAAAGCAGACTCTCCGCGATGAGAAGGAGCATTTAAACGCTGGGAAAATTACTCTACAGAACCAGATCGTTGAGTTTCAGACTGAATCGGAGCAGATCAGACAGATTCTGCTCAAAGACAAACTAGATGTTCAACTTCTGAGAGAAAATCTGCAGGAGGACAAATTGGAGTTTATGAAAACAGCAGAAGGGTTCCAGAAAGATTTCAACGAAAGTTTACAGGATTTGAAGGAGAAGCTGGAATTTCTGAGTCTTGAGAAGAGAAGTCTGGAGGAAGAAAAACAACGTTTCCTGATGACCAAATCAGAATCAGAGAAGGAACAAGGGAGGATTTACAAAATCCTCGAGGAAGAATTAGACAATTTGCATTTGGGAAAACAAAGTCTGGAAACACAAGTGATGGACTTTAGGGAAGAAATTGCTGCAGCAGGTAAGATCTTAAAAGAGAAGGAAACTGCTCTAGAAGAAGGGCTGGAGGGTCTGAGACTTCAGAGAGAAACTCTGGAAAAAGAAAAGACAAATTTCCAGTTAACAAAGTTCAGATCGGAAGAGGAGAATAAGGGAATACAGGCAAAAGAGCTGGAAATATTCCAAATTAGGAAACAAACTCTCATCAAACAGATGACAGACTCTGAAGAAAGAAACATAAACTCAGAGCAGGTCATTCAAGACATTCAACGGGTTCTTCAGGAAGAGAGAGACTGTTTAGTAACGCTCCCACAAAACCTGGAGGAAGAGAAACTAGAGTTTATGGAAAAAAGGGAAGCAGAAACTCACCTTTTAAAGGAGAAACAACGAGCTCTGGAAGAAGGGGTTGAACATTTGACTCAAGAGGAAATTAATTCTTTGGAGGCGAGAATGGACGAAATTCACAGACATATTGGACAATGTTTCCAGCTTCTTCAAGAGGAAGAGGGGCATTTAGATCAGATTGGGCAGGAGCTGGAAGCAGCATCTTTAAGTGTCGAAGACGAGCAGCCACCTATGGAGGACGAGTCAGACAGTCCCACAGCTGCGTCTGAAGATCTGGGGGAACTGAATTTAGAAAAAACTGTGACTACCCAGGTACCCAGTGACGGGAACCCAACTCTTCACAGTCCTCATGATGATGATGATGTCAGGGAACTGAGTTTAGAAAAAACAAAGACAAATTCAGAAGAGGAGCATAAAGAAAAGTATGAATGCTTCCTAGATGAGTTCCAGTATTTAGAAGCTGGGAATCAGAGTTTAGAAGAACAGAAGATGGACTCTCAAGAGAACGAAAAAGATTCAGCCCAGATTCATCAGGAGGCGCAAACTCTGGCTGACCATGTCTTGGGAACTGGATACCTGTTAGGTACCCAGTACCTTGGTACCCAGCAATGGGTTAGAGGGCACTTGTTACTTGGTACCCGATACAGGGGCCCTGGCTACGCAGTATGTCCTCATAATGATGAAACACAAACGATTGAACTAAGGGAAGAAATGCAGAAAGCATCTTTAAACGTCGAAGACGAGCAGCCACCTGTGGAGGACGAGTCAGACAGTCCCACAGCTGTGTCTGAAGATCTGGGGGAACTGAATTTAGAAAAAACAGTGACTACCCAGGTACCCAGTGACGGGAACCCAACTGTTCCCAGTCTTCATGATGATAACGACGAGCTTCCAGAGAACCCCGGGCCTGCCCATGGGAGCGCTGAAGAAGAATGGGAGGCTGAAGAAGACTGGGAGGCCGAAGAGCCAACGCCTTCTACATCTGGCCTAGGATCCAGCTGGGACTAACCCGACTTCTACTAGAGACGTCTTCTTCCAGAACACCAATGAAGATCAGAAAAGCATATAAAAGTGAAGTAGGGAGCTTGGCATGGGTTTAGATTTTTTTAAACTAGGAAACAGAGAATTTGAATCAGGAAAACGTAAAATTTTCAGAGAGAAGAAACTGAATGGGTGAGAGAGTAGATGCTGCAAACCTGCAGGAACAGGATTGCAGGCAGAGGAAAAAATACGAGCAGCCAATCTAAATTTAGTAAGTAGTAACACACAGTAACACGAGAGGTTAAACAAAGGCTCAAAGTTTAGAAGAGCAGAAAATTAACCTGTAGTTCTTCAAGAGCTTCTGCAGGAGGAAATAGGAATGGGTTAAAGATTTTAGCTCTAACAATTACGCTTATCAGAGCTTCTAGTTTCCGTAGACTAAGAGTCAATACCTTAGATGGGTTGGTTCTTGATTTAAAATGCCACTACATTAGAGAGTTTTTACACTATGTGTCTAGGATGTAGCTTCTTCCACAAACAGGTACTAAAATACAAACGAAGAAAGAAAAACGCAGCACAGGTGACATCTCAATCGATTCAATCATTTCTGTGTCTCCGTGTTCTGCGTGGTGGTTTTCTCTGGGTGCTCCAGTTCACCCCCAACCCAACACAAAATCCTAAAATCCTGACACGTTAAGCCTAATTTATACTTCTCCGTCATCGCCACGAGGGAGAGGCACGCTCGCAAGGACGGAGACAATTTGCCCTCAGACTTCTCCGTCTCCTGGGGAGTGTTGCAAAGCAATTCCCCGCTACGACATTTAACCCTCTCAGGCTCAAAATAAGTGGGGCCGACAGGAGCTATCCGAGCAGGGCCGGCCAGGTACAGATGGGAATGGCCCATGAGAGTCAATACCTTTGATGGGTTGGCTCTTGATTTAAAATGCCACTACATTAGAGAATTTTTACACTATGTGTCTAGGATGTAGCTTCTTCCACCACCAGGTACTAAAATACAAACAAAAAAATTACCAAAAAAAAAAACGCAGCACAACTGACATCTCAACCGATCTAATCATTTATGTGTCTCCGTGTGCTGCGTGGGGTTTTCTCTGGGTGCTCCAGTTCACCCCCAACCCCAAATCCTAAAATCCTGACACTTTAAGCCTAATTTATACTTCTCTGACATCGCCACAAGGGAGAGGCACGCTCGCACTGATGGGGACAATTTGCCCTCAGACTTCTCCGTCTCCTGGGGAGTGTTGCAAAGCAATTCCCCGCTAGAACATTTAACCCTCTCAGGCTCAAAATAAGTTTTGATAAAAGGACGAACAACTAAGTCCTTCAGGGGTACTTCTGAGTTAAAAATGCTCACGAAACACGTATGTGGAGTAACCAGGTACGTAGGCTTAAACGTTGCAAATCTGCAACGCCTGCCTCCAGAGGGTTTAAACACGATGAAAATATACTTCCTATCAAACATCTCACATCAATCCAGTTAATTTAATAGGTTTTAAAGATCATTGTCACGGTTCTGTCATGGATCTGTATTTCTCTACATGGACTCATCATGTTTTGCTCCACTGAGCTTGTTGCAGGTGGGCGTGTCGAAGAGTCTCAGCTGTGGCTGATTTTCCCATCAGCAATTCAGTTCAATTCAAGTTTATTTATAAAGCGCCAAATCACGACAAGAGTCGTCTCAAGGCACTTCACACAGTAAACATTCCAATACAGGTCAGGGGTCTCGTTTGTCAAACACTGCGTAGAATCCTTACTAAACCATACTTAAGCTCAGCAAAAAAAAAAAGTACTTACCCCAAGTAGGTTTGTGATCTATCAAACATGGAGTACGCACAGCTGCACGCAATCTCCGCTTCATAAATCAGAGACTAACGAGAATGTTTCTCAGCTGCATTTTAGTCACATCCTGCCCTCACCACGCCCACTTACTGCCATAAATAGTCAATGCAAAGTGCCTTGTGGATCTCATGCATATACATAAGCCAGCTGTTGCAGCGTTCCGCCAATGACGATGGCGACCGTAGATCAAGGCAGATCAAGGAAGTGCAATTTCACAGAAGCAGAAATTGAGGTACTTGTGGGTGAGGTGGAGAAATGAAAGGAAGTGCTTTTGCAAAACAAATAAGAGAAAATCCACGGAGTGGCACAGCGTTGCTGAAGCCGTCAATGTTGTGAATTCTTCAGAGAGATCTGATACAAAAACAATGGTCCAATCGGGATTCAATCCCCAGACTCCCAAGTGAAAGTCACACACTCTAACCAGTCAGCCAGAGATCTCCCCTGTTCAACTAGCCAGGGCGCATGATCAATCGGGTCACAGTGACAGGACACGCACTGTCACAGATGCATGACATTCTGTCTCAATCTGTCCCCCTGCTGATAGTCTGCATTCTGTATTCTGCGCTTCAGGCTGTGTGTGTGTGCATGTGTGTGTGTGAGTGTGCGCGTGCATGTGTGTGTGTGTGTGTGTGTGTGTGTGTGTGTGTGTGTGTGTGTGTGTGTGCATGTGTGTGTGCGTGTGGGGGGGGGTCTTGTCTGTGTGAAAACGAAGCGGTAAAAGAGATAATGCTGCTGGATTTCATCATTTTATCTTCTCAGCAGCAGCACTGCAGGTGCTGCCCATGTCCATTATGTGCATAAGCCAGGTCCTTAGTCAGCTTAAAATTGCGCACATTTTTCCGCTACGTTTTCTTTCATAAATCCTAAAGTTTGCGTGGAAAGTTGCTCACGCAGTTTTCCAACCCCGTTTTGTGCGTAAGCAAGCTTAATGAATGAGGCCCCAGTTCATTAAGCCAATCAGTAAAAAGTTTCCTATACATACCAAGTAATGTTTCTATAGTTACATTGTGATTTCTTAGTAAATGTGCGTAATCACCACTCTGGCACAGGTAGAGGGTCTTAAATGCATTTTAATGAGTACTTAGAGATTGTTCTGTTTTTCTGGCACCAGATGATGGTTGTTTCATGCAGTGGCGGATTTAGCAATTTGGGGGCCAAAGGCGAACACAGACATATGTGGCCCATTACACAAAATTTTCGACAATCTTACCTTTAACTGGATTTGCGAAACTCTCCCCTCTTCTGACATGAGTTATTTTCACTTTTTATTAGTCCTCCTCTTTTTTTCCTGTATTTCTCTCCCTTTGAGCGCTTTCAATATTTTCTCTGCTTTCTTTTTCCTGTCAGTGCTCCTGTGCTTTTGCCTTTGTTTTTTTTTTTCTATTTTCCATTTTGGTCTGTGTTTTCCTCCCTTTAAACATTTTCCATTGTCTTTCCTTTCTGCTTCCTTTTGATGTCTACATCGAAAAACGACATCACTTTCAGAAGTGAAAATAAAATCTTTTATGAAGCATGCTGCTTCTTTCTTTTAATGGAGCCACTAGGATAACTCAGTTTCATGCTTAATGTTTTCGCTATCGCTTTGAGTTTGTTACGAACGCTCCTGCCTCTCTTATTATTATTATTTGTGGTCTTATGGCACTTGGCAAACAACAATTTGGTGCATTACCGCCACCAACTGGATTGGAGTGGAATGACTACCAATCACTTCCTGTTTGTGCTTCGGTGTCTTAATAACCCTCTTATGACCATAATTATAACAGGGCCGCCTGGTATTTTTTTAATCTTATGGCTTTAAAATTGTAATAAAAAGTGCAAAGTGTGTGTAACTCTTCTCCTTTTTTCAGAACAACCTCAGCTTTCAGTGTATGGTTTGTATTTAGAATTTATTTGTATTAAAGCCTTTAAAAAATCAGCTTAAAGGTGAAAAAAGCAAAAAATGATTAGAATTTCTTACATTTATTACTAAACAGTAACTTCAAAATTACTGGGCAAACAATTTGGAATGAACACTTTAAACTTTGAACTGTATTGCATCTATTCTTAAAAAAGTTTGAACCTTGGTATCTTTTTTAGCAGTTTTTAAGACCATTTATTTTTGTAAACTTTCAGACGTTTTTTTGATGTGGTAGACCTTGAAGCAGTTTCTCTCCAGCTACAGGCAGAGTCCTGCACACCTCTCACTGCCATGGGGTGCTTCTCTTGCACACCGTACACTGCTATACCAAAAACTTTTGTTTTAGCAAAAATAATTATTTATTGTAAAAAGATAAATAATGCTAGAATGAAGCTGAATCTTACAATTAGCGAATAGTTGAGGGTTGTTCAAATAAAAAAATAAAAATAAAGACTGAGCAAACATTCATACCCTGGTTCACTGGAGATCTGTCCTTCGTGGTCACTGTCCAGATATAAGCCTTCTGGGACACCTAATAGATCGTGTTGTGTTTCTTTGAGGCATTTCCATAATTTCATGCTGGCTTTTTATGCTAATTAGCTTCCCCGTTCCGTTATCCACTTTCACCGCTGAGCTGTGCTCCTTTTCAATCAGGCTGTACAGCAGGGTTTCCCCTTGTAGCGATATTTTCCATAACTCTGATTGCTTCATGCTTCATTGGAAAGCTGCTTTTATGTACTTTTAGGAACCGTTGGAATTTGTTGAATCTGATCAGCCATTGAATAGTTATAAAACGGAGCATTTTGGATGAAAAACTCAGCACGTCTCTGAATCTGTGTTGTGATTCGTTGTGCTCAAGACAGGGAATGCCGTTGGCTACCGTAATGCATTGTATATACACGAAAAGCCCCATTTTTAATCTTTTCAGCACTTTTCGAAATTTAAAGGGGCATTATGGAAGTTTGACAGCCAAAACATGTATAGAAATAATACATTTCTTCTTAATACATTCTCCTGCGATGCCCTGGTCCTGTAGAATGAGCCCTGGCATCTTTATTGTGATTGCCTATTTTTCAGTAAAATCGCAGAAAAAGAGAGCTGCTCAGGTCGCGCAGGCTGCTTCATGCGGGTTCATGCTGAGGCATAGCCCTCCGAACCCTTCTTTGAACGTTGTTTCAGGTGTCATCAAGGATATAATGAAGATGACAAAGATGCCATTGGCGATTTAGTTCGCCTAGTAAAGTGTCGGGCTTTTGTGCAGAAGACTCGGGTTTGATTCTTGATGTGAACATAGTTGTTTCAGAATTTCGTTTTTACAATAATTATATATTTTTTTACAGTAAGATGCCCAAATTTTTATTTGAGACTCGCCGAACGGCATTGAATTCAAAGATAAAAAAAGATGTGGCTTCAACTTTCATTTTGGAACAATTTTCAAGTAAGGTAATGGAATTATCTGAGCATGCAGGAGAACTGACCCATCATAAACCTTTGCTGAAGAGAAAAGTACAGAACCAAACTATTTAATTAATTTGCTGCGTGTTCTCCTGTCCTCTGTCCTCCGGGCCACCCACACACACACACACACACACACACACACACACACACACACACACACACACACACACACACACACACACACACATCACACACACTTCACACACACACACACACACACACACACAAGGGACTGTCAGCTCTCAGAGCTCTGTGAAGCTGACCCCCGTCAGCTTCACAGAGCTTCGTCTCAGCTGTTATTTTCGTTAAGGAGTGTGCACGTACAGCATGCGCGCCTCATGCACGAGCCTCCTATTGAAGCTGTCGTTACGCTTTTGGCCAGAGGGGGCAATCACGAGCATAAAAATTCAAAACTCCCTAAAGTCCCTTTAATGATTTCTTGGAACGGTTCAGGAATTATGGTAATGAGAAATGCGCATGTCCAATCCCGTTGGCGGTGACAGGTTGGTAATAAGAATATTGTGGCATTAATAGAAGGGTGCCGGCGGTCAGGGCTAGGGGGCCCCCCAACACAAGGGGGCCCTAGGCGGCCACCGACGTATGCCTAATGGTGAAACCGCCACTGGTTTCATGCACCGTTTCCAAGTTCTGTTATAGAACACAGCTAACGTACCATCTGTACATCTGCGCCTCCCTCCTGATCAGCCTGACAGCCTTCATGATCCAATACATGCAATGTATGTTAAAGACAAAGCAGGCTTCTTCTATGGTTGGATGGTATTTCAGCCCTCGTCCTGATGACTTGGGTTTGGGGTAAATTAAAGGTGAATTTATATTCTAAACATAGATTCTATGTTTTTTAGAACATCATGTTTTTGACGACACCTGTTCAGAGTCATAAATCATTTATTAGCTGATAGATGAAATTCTGCATCCCTGAAACAAATCTAGGGAGGACCCCTAGACCCCAACAACTCAAAAGTATCAACATCAATTACAATAACGTTAATACATATTATCACTACAGTACATTATACAAATTAGTGATCCTCTATATCTGGAAAAAATGAATTCTTTATATAATTTCATAAATTGCAGCATGTTTAAACTTTTTTGATTCTTTCCTCAAGACTATTCCATAAAATAACTACACTAATTAAAATACACATAATTTTCTATTTTGTTCGAGCATAATGCTGCTTCAAATTTAATTCGCTTCTCAACTTATATCTACCTTGTCTTTCTGCAAACAGTTTTTGAATATTTTCAGGCAGCATTTTTTTTATTTACTTTGTACGTAAATAATGCAGTCCTAAATCCAATCAAATCTTTGAGCTTTGAAGTTTGTAATTTTATAAACAAGCTATTTGTGTGTTCATTATATCCCACATG